TAAATCCAGCAAGTGCTCTTTACTGGGCTCGCTCCCCTCTGGCTTGCCTTGCAGGTGACCAAGGCAGTGCGAGCCGGAGAGGTGGATGCCAAGACCCGCCGGCAGATCTTTGACGCGATCGGCTTCACGCTGCCCGCGCGCCTGCTGAGCTCGGGGCAGCCCCCAGCCGGGTGCCCCCCGCACACCTTCCGCGCGCTGGGCCTGACACTGCTGGCCTGTTTCTGCACCGACCCGCAGCTCGCCGCCCACTCCCAGCTCCTCAGCAAAATCCACACCTTCAACCAGGTCCTGCTGTCCCCCTGCGACCCGGACGGCGCGTCCATGGTGGACGACGTGTACCAGTGTCTGAGCGCTGTCCTGGCCACTGCCAGGGGCCCCAGGGAGTTGGTGACCAGAGGGACAGTGTCTGCTCTCTGCCAGGCATACCTGAGTGGCACTCACGGCTCTGACCGTGCCCTGGCACTGCTGGTGGGGCTGTTGGCTGCAGCAGAGAACAAGTGTTGGCAGAGAGATGCTCCACAGCTCCTGGCTGTGCTCGGCAAGCTCTCCGATGATTTCCTCAAGGCTGAAGACATGACCAAATTTGAGCTGTGTGAGGTTCTGCCTCGCTTCATCCCACTGTCACCTCTGCTTACGCAGGACCCACAGGGCTCCGAGTGCCTCGGCAGACTTTACAAAGGGCTGGGTGACATTTTGGGCAGCAAGCTGAGCCAGTCCCAGCGAGACCCTGCTCTCAAGCTCGCTGCCAGCCTCGTGCAGGCCTGTGGGGCAGAGTGGATCCCAGCAGGGAGTGCTGGCAGCAAGTTCCTGGCCTTGCTGGTGAACTTGGCTTGTGTGGAGGTCCGGCTGACCCTGGAGGAGCCAGACCCCGTGGAGGTGGAGGGCAAGAAAGAAGTGGTGACGGCCTGTTATGTCCTTATGGAGATGGGGATCCAGGAGTGCCTGAGGGAAGAGAACCCACTGCTGGATGAGGGGCAGAAGATGCAGCTCATGAGGATTATGGAGGAGGCATTTGGAGCTGTAATTTTCCACCTGAGACAGGTAATGGAAGGCTTTTAATGAGGAGCAGGGTTTGGGGGTGTCTCTGCATATTGCCTCTTGGTCCACTGTGGTTTCCAGGCCTGTGACAGTTTGATGTACAGAGACCCCAACATGTCATTTTGGTGCTTTCTTCATGCAGGTTAAACAGGAGGAGCTGCAAGATCCTTTCATATTTGCCTCCGTTCGAGTCCTTGGAGCCTGGATGGCAGAAGAGACCTCCTCCCTCAAGCAGGAAATCTGTGAGCTCTTGCCTTGGCTTGTTCATTACACCAGGAAGCTTTTCCAGGAGGGCAGCTCAGCTCCAAGCCTCCTCCAGGCAGAGCTGGTCAGCACTGAGGGCTCTGCCTTACCCCTGGATGCTCTGAGGTGAGTATTTTAAGCACAGAATTGATGCATTTTAGCACACACCTGCTCAAACATTTTTCTATTGTCCATCTCCCTGTAGCACCAATTCCGTGGGGATTTTTCACCCAGGTGGATGTAAAAGCAGGTCTTAGACCCATTCTACCTCATGCTCCCAATTTCTTTCCCCTTCCAGGTTTCTGCTCCCTGGCTTTTGCCATCTGACAGCAGAGGACAGGCCCCGGGACATCCTCATCTCCGAGGGGGCACCAGCACTGCTCTGTGAGTACTTCCTCCAGCAGTGGGAGGTGCTGAGCTCCGAGTCCACAGCCCCAGAGCTGCTGACCAGCACTGAAATGAGCCTGCAGACCCTGTGTGGGATTTTCCTTAACCTGGTGGTGACTGCTCCAGACCTGGTCAGGTAACAGAGCTGTGGGAGCTGGCTCTGGGGGTGTCAGTGGGAGGAAAGAGGATGCCCTGTACAGTGAGCTTAAGGATCTCTTAACACACTACACTGAAAAAGGATGTTCCTGTTTCCCAGTTTCATCACATTTTTGGTGCTGTAGTTAACCTTGACATTTTCAGGTACTTCTGGCTCTGCTCAGGAAATGTGTCTCAGGGTTTGCTTTTCTCTCTAGGCAAGACAAAACCTTTTCCTCCTTGATGGAGGTGTTGCTGAAGTCTCTTCCAGTTCTGCTGCCCCAGGAACATCACTTGGTTCTGGCAGCAAATGTTACCACTCTGGGCCTGATGATGAGCAGGATCCTCACAGGGTCAGCAGGTAAGAGGAATTCTGTTGCAAAGCCCACGTTGTGCAGAATGGGCAGAGACCAGGACCTGGGTGGCTGAAAAAGCAAAGAGAAGGGAATCAGGTCCAGTTTCTGCCATTGAAAAAGTGACAAAACCAAAAATCTGGAACAGCAAGGAATATGCAGAACTGATGCACTGGGATTAAGGGATTTCTAGGGCCGGAGTACGTTGTCCTGCTCTCCCTGCAAGTCCCACTGCACACAGACCCACCACAGGGCCATCCTTTGGCCAGGCAAGCTCTGTATGGTGTCATCGTTTCCTTTTCCTTCCAGCTCTCCAAAGGACACATTCTGCCAAGGAGTTTTTCAGAGCAGCCATTCGCTTCCTCTCCCAGGCCCACACGGCCGAGGCAGACCCCAGCAGGGATGGCCTGGCCGTGGCTGTGTCACCTGCCTACAGGAGTGCCTGGGATGACATCCGTGAGCTCTGGTTCCTGGGGATGCAGGCCCTGGCAGGCTGCATCCCCCTCCTGCCCTGGCTGCCGCGCACCGTGCTCCGGGCGCGCTGGCTGGAAGGCATCTCGGAGCTGCTGTCCCGCGTGGCTCCAGCCTCTGTGGATTTTGAGCTCATTGCTGCTTTCCAGGCAGTGCTGGTGGAGCTGGCCAGAGCCTCTGAGCCATGCAGGGATGTGATCCTGTCCCACCACGGCTCGGAGTGGGCCAACCTGTACGGCATGGCAGCACTGGAGCAGTGCCTGGGCAGACAGTGAGGAGCAGCAGCATTCCACGTGGGAGGTGGAGGCAGACACCTGCACGAGGTCCTGTCAGTGCTTCTCATGCACCCCTTGGTGCCAGGAGGGGACAAAACATTTAAATGAACAGCTGGAGTGATGCAGCAGAGCCTGGCACTGTCCACACCCTGATGTGCAGAACTGCTGCTGCCTCAGAACGTTTCACCATGGCCCTGCTTGACCTGTTGTCAATGTTTTTCTGTGAAAACAGTTATTAAAGACATTTTCTGTGGCTCTGTTTTTCCAACTCCACAGTGCTGGGATTTTTCCCTGCCCAGGGCCCTGAGAGGTCAACTGCTCCTCCCATTCACAGTCAGAATTTTGTCACATTAGGTTATCACCTTGTTTCTCTCACAGGCCTGCACAGGTTAGTAAATAACTCAGCACTACAAGAAGAACCCTGCAAAAGGCAGGAATGGGAAAAGCTTTAGGAGTTACTGGTAGCAGTGAGAATAACTCCCTGTGACTGGATGCTGTTCTGCAGGATGATTCCCCATTTATACCTACAGCTGGTACTGTCATCCCAAATTCACACCCTCTCAGCACCACTTGCTGTTACCTGTTCTTCCCGGCAAAACACCTGCACAAAGCACATCCATTTGTATTTCCTCCCTCTCACTGCAGGGATGGGATGTACAGGGCAAGTTTTTCCACTCTGGCAAAGTGAGGGGTTCAACCTGCAAAGGGAGTTCCACCTGCCTTGGCTCTCTTTAGGTTGTGAAAGCCAAAATGAGTGAATTCCCCCCTTGCTGACTCCCCACAGACCAAGGAATACTTTGCTTTATGGAAGAGGAAGGCCACGTGTACCATGGAAGTAAATCCCTTGTAGCTTTTGCAGCTTGGGCTGCCAACTCCTGGGTTCCATGTTATCCGAGGAGCACTCCCAGAAGGAGCAGCTGGACAGGGTGGATGCTCGAGGCTCTCTCCGTCCGAGCGGAGCTCCCTACTCCCGTTTTTCCACCAGGTGTCAGCCGAGGAGTTCTCTGGGAGCTGCAGCCTCGCCGGGCCCAGCTCTGCTGCCAGACAAGGCGCTGAGCAAACCTCGTTCTGGGGGCTGAGGAATCGCCTGCTCGAGGGCACATGAAGCCCGGAGTCAGGACGAG